GACTTAAGACAAAATCCACCATAAAAAAACAAGGAAGGACATTATATAATGATTAAAGGGACAATCCACCAAGAAGACATAATCTTCATAAATATCTATGCACCCAATGACAAGGCTCCAGAACACATAAAACAAACTCTAACAACACTGAAAAGAGAAACAGACAGTTCCATAATAATAGTAGGAGATTTCAACACACCACTCTCAGTAAAGGATAGAACATCTAGAAAGAAACTCAGCAAAGACACAGAAAATCTAAAGGCCACAGTCAACCAACTTGACCTCATAGACATGTATACTTTACCCAACAGCAGCAATGTATACATTCTTTTCCAATGCACGTGGAACATTCTCCAAAATAGACCACATTTTAGGCCACAAAGCAACCCTCAATAAAATCCAAAACATTGAACTAATACAAAGCATTCTCTCTGAACACAGTGTTATAAAAGTAGAAATCAATAACAAGAAGAGCAAGGGAAAAACTTCAATACATGGAAACTGAATAACACCCAACAACTAGGTAATACAAGAGATCAAAGAGGGAATCACAAAATTCCTAGAGTCAAATGAGAATGAAAACACATCATAACAAAATCTTTGGGACACAGCAAAGGCAGTGCTCAGAGGTCAATTTATAGCAAAAAAGAAGAATGGGCCAAAATCAAGACATTAGCCCTACAACTCAAACAAATAGAGAACAGCAAGAGAAGCCACAGGCACCAGAAGAAAGGAAGTAATAAAGACTAAAGCAAAAATAAATGAAACAGAGAACAGAAAAACAATAGAAAGAATCAACAAGACCAAAAGTTGTTTCTTTGAAAAGATCAACAAAATCGACAATTGGCCAAACTGACAAAAGAAAAACAGGAGAGGAAGCAAATAACCCAAGTAAGAAATGAGATGGGGTATATTACAACAGACCCAACTGAAAATAAAAATAATCATAACAGAGTACTATGAAAAATTATACTCCAACAAATTTGAGAACCTAGAGGAAATGTCCAAGTTTCTAGAAACACTACCTACCTAAAGTAGCATAAACTGAAATAGAAAATCTGAATAGATTCATAACAAGGAAAGAGATTGAAGAGGTAATTTAAAAAAACAAAAACAAAACAACAAATAGAAAGCCCTGACCCAGACAGCTTCATTGAAGAATTCTACCAAACATTCAGAGAACAGCCCACACCAGTATTACTCAAGCTCTTTCAGAGCATAGAAAAGAGGGAATACTCCTGAATTCATTCTATGGAGCCAGCATAACCCTGATACCAAAGCCAGGCAAAAGATCACAAAAAAAGAAAATTGCAGACCAATATCTCTGATGAATATAGATGCAAAAGTGCTCAACAAAATTCTAACCAATAGAATTCAGCATCATATCAAAAAAATAATACATCATGACCAAGTAGGATTCATACCAGGCATGCAAAGATGGTTCAACATTAGAAAATCAGTCAATGTAATCCACCACGTAAATAGCGCAAAAGAAAATAATCACATGATCATCTCAATTGACGCAGAAAAAGCATTTGATGAAGTCCAACACCCATTCCTGATTAAAAAAAAAAAAAAAAAAAAAACTCTCAATAAAATAGGAATAGAAAGAAGGGAAATTCCTCAACATAATAAACAACAGCCAACATCATTCTCAATGGAGAGAGGCTGAAAGCATTCCCTTGAGAATGGGAACAAGACAAGGATGCTCTTTATCATCACTCCTATTTAACATCATGCTGGAAGCCCTAGCTAGAGCAATAAGGTAAGAAAAAGAAATAAAAGACATCTACTTTGGAAAGGAAGAACTAAAATTGTCCCTATTCCCAGGTGATATGTTCCTATACATAGATAACCCTAAATGTTTCACAAGAAAACTACTAGAACTAATAGAAAGATTCAGCAGAGTATCAGGATACAAAATCAACATGCAAAAATCAGTTGGATTCCTATACACCAACAAAGAGAACTTCGAAAACGAAATCAGGAAAACAATACCATTTATAATAGCCCCTAAAATGATAAAATACTTAGGAATAAATCTAACCAGGTACATAAAAGACATATACAAAGAAAACCACAAAACACAACTGCAAGAAACCAGAGACCTACATAAATGGAAAAACATACCGTGGTCATGGATAGGAAGACTCAACATTGTGAAAGTGCCAATTCTAAACAAAGCAATCTACAGATATAATGCAATCCTGATCCAAATACCAACAGCATTCTTTAATAACATGGAAAAACTAATCACCAACTTTATATGGAAAGGAAAGATGCCTAGGATAAGCAGAGCTTTGAGGAGAAAGAACAAAGTAGCAGGCCTCACATACCTGATCTCAGAATCTACTATACAGCCACAGTAGTCAAAACAGCCTGGTACTGGTACAATGACAGACACATAGACAAATGGAACAGAATGGAGAACCCAGATGTAAATCCATTCACCTATGGTCAGCTGATCTTTGTCAAAGGACCAAAGTCCATTAAATGGGGAAAAGACAGTCTTTTTAACAAATAGTGCTGACAAAACTAGATACCCATTTGTAAAAAAATGAAACAGGACCCATACCTCACACCATACACAAAAACTAACTCAAAATGGATCAAAGACCTAAATATAAAACTTAAAACGATAAAGATCATGGAAGAAAAAATAGAGACAACACCAGGGGCCCTAATACATGACATAAAGAGAATGCAAACTGTAACTAACAATGCACAAACACCAGAAGATAAACTAGATAACTGGGAGCTCCTAAAAATTAAACACTTATGCTCATCAAAAGACTGCAACAAAAGGGTAAAAAGAGAACCTACAGACTGAGAAAAAGTTTTTGACTCTGACATATCCAACAAAGGTCTAATCCCTAAAATCTATAGAATATTCAACACCTCAACAACAAAAAGATAATCCAATTAAAAAATGGGCAAAGGATATGAACAGACACTTCATCAAAGAAGACATTCAGATGGCTAACAGCCACATTATGAAATGCCCACAATCATTTGCTATTAAACCCATTGCTGTTGAGTTGATTCCAACTCACAGCAACTCTATAGGACATGGTAGAACTGCCCCATAGGGTTTCCAAGGTATGGCTGGTGGATTCAAACTGCTGACCTTTTGGTTAGCAGCCATAGCACTTAACCACAAATGCAAATCAAAACTACAATGAGATACCATCTTACCCTGACATTATTGGCACTAATAAAAAAAAACAGAAAATAACAAATGTTGGAGAGGTTGTGGGGAGATTGGAACTCTTATGCAATGCTGTTGAGAATGCAAAATGGTACAACCACTATGGAAAACAATATGGTGCCTCCTTAAAAAGCTACAAATAGAAATACCATACAATCCAGCAATCCCCCTACTATGAATATATCCTAGAGAAATAAGAGCCATCACGCTAATAGACATATGTACACCCATGTTTATTGCAGCATTATTCACAATAGCAAAAAGATGGATACAACCTAAGTGCCCATCAACAGATGAATGGATAAACAAATTATAGTACATACACACAATGGAATACTATGCAGCAATAAAGAACAATGATGAATCCGAGAAATATCTCACAACATGGATGAATCTGGAAGGCATTATGCTAAGTGAAATAAGTCAATCACAAAAGGACAAATATTATATGAGACCGCTATTATAAAAACTCAAGTAAAGGTTTACACACAGATAAAAACAATCTTTGATGGTTACAAGGTAGGGAGGTGGTGGGGAGGGGAAATCACTAACTAGATAGTAGACAAGCATAAACTTGGGTGAAGGGAAAGACAACATACAATTTAGGGGAAGTCAGCACAATTTGACCAAGACAAAGTCACAGAAGCTTCCTAGACACATGCAAACACCATGAGGGACTGAGTTACTGAGGCTGAGGACTGGGGACCATAGTCTCGGGGGACATGTAGGTCAACTGGCATCACAGTTCATAAAGAAAATGTTCTACATCCTACTTTGGTGAGTAGTGTCTGGGGTCTTAAAAGCTTGCAAGCAGCCATCTAAGAGACATCTATTGGTCCCATTCGTCCAGAGCAAAGGAAAATGAAAGAATCCAAAAACATAAGGAAAATATTAGTCCAAAGGACATGAACCACAGCCTCCACCAGCCTGAGCCCAGAAGACCTAGATGGTGCCCAGCTACCACCACCGACCACTCTGACAGGGCTTACAATAGAAGGTCCTAGAGAGAATGGGAGAAAAATGTAGAACAAAATTCAAATTCACAAAAAAAGACCAGACTTACCGGTCTGACAGTGACTGGAGGAACTACCAAGAGTATGGCCTCTGGACACCCTGCTAACTCAGAACTGAAGCTACTCCTGAATTCCACTTTTCAGCTAAAGATTAGAGAGACCTATAAAACAAACAGTGACACACGTGAGGAATGTGCTTCTTAGCTCCATCAAGTATACAAGACCAAATGGGCAACACTTGTCCAAAATCAAAGACGAGAAGGCAGGAAGGGACAGGAAAACTGGACAAGGAGAACCTGGGGTGGAAAGGGGGAGAGTGCTGACACATTGTGGGGATTGCAACCAATGTTACAAAACCACTTGTGTATAAATTTTTGAATGAGGAACTAATTTGCACTGTAAACTTTCACCTAAAGCACAATAAAAAAAATTTTTTAAAAGGGCAGGGAAAAGGAAGACAAGTTGTACTAAAGTACAGGAGAGTTTCTAATTAAAAAGCAAGGAAACCTACAGAATAACAAAAACAAAGAAGCAAGCAAACCACAAATCACCCACCCCCCCCCCAAAAAAAAAAAACAAAAACCCTGGGGGTTGGGGAGAGGAAAAATACTGTAAAATTAGAAGCAAAGAAACTTTGAAAGAATCAAATCAAGTAAATGACTCCTTACACTAAATGTCACTGGGCCCCAGTTTCTGGGGCTGGGGCTGGGGTTGGAGAGTGGGGAAGAAGCCAGTAAAAATAGAAAAGAAGAAAAAGAGGGTTCAAAAATCACATGGGAGACGGTTGCTTTATGCATTTATGTAACATATTTTATATTTGTGGGAGTATGCGTTTTTCACAATATTTAAAATATATGGGAAAAAAAGCAATGTGTTGATTATTCAGTGCTAAGATTGAGACACTCCAGGAGCACTGCTGGGTATCATGCCAGGTTGGACGTTCGTTAAGTCAGGGTGGCATAGGGGTTTAGAGTCTAGCTCTCAGACCAGACTCCCTCAATTCAAATCCTGGTTTTTCCATGCCTGGATGTGTGGACTTGCACGTATTACTTCCCTGTGCCTCAATTTTCCCATCTGCAATAGGGATAACACCAGCATCTAACTGGTAGGGTTGTAGAGAGGATGCACTGAACTAATGCAGGATCCAGCACAAAGTAGGTGCCCACAAACTGTTTGCCACCATCATCTTCATTGTTATCATCTCATTGTCCCCAAGTAGACAAAACCAGGCTTTTTAGAGGTCCAGCTTAAGCCATTGTGCTACCAGGAGTAGGTATGTGTGCTAGACTTTGCCCCAAAGACCTTAAATTCAGAATGACCACTTTCCTGTTCTCCTCCCAGAACGTGGGTGGGGGCACCACTGTGGTGCAAGTGAGAGCCACCGACCATGACATTGGGCTCAACAGCATCTTGTCCTACTACATCACCGAGGGCAACGAGGACATGACCTTCCGCATGGACCGAATCAGTGGCGAGATCACCACACGGCCCGCCCCTCCAGACCGCGAGCACCAGAGCTTCTACCACCTCGTGGTCACAGTGGAGGACGAGGGTACCCCTACCCTGTCGGTGAGCCATGGGGGGTAGCCACAGGGAGGGAGGGGGTGGACGAGGGGCACCTCTGCCTCCGTGCAAGGAGAGTCAAGATGGGTGGACATGGAACTCCATGCAGTGGGGAGCATCCTTGAAAACTCCTTCATTATGTATTTAATCCATCAGCCCACAGTATTTATGGATTGCCTGTTGTGTGCAAAGCTGGAGTCTATTTCTTCCAAGTCCACAGCCACTTGGAGCTTCTATTTAGTGCTCTTTGCTCTCACAGAGCAGCTCCATGTGATGGCACAGGTTGAGCCCTGTACATCAGGGTCTACCCAAGGAAGCAAGTAGGAGCTGAAGTCCAGCCCACACTCCACTTGCCAAGCTGTGTGCCCTTGGGGCCACACAGTCCAATACGGCACCCTTGTGCCAAAATAGCAAAGGTGCCCTCTGGCCCTCTTCCTTTGAGTCCTGTTGGTGTGACATGCTGTCACAACACATCAGGGTTGGAAGGAGCTTGATGGGTCCCGTGGTCCAGCCTCATGCTTGCTTCAGGATGAATCATGCCTCCTGGTCATCCTTCCAATAACATTTAAAGATGCATTTGGCTGCAGGTAACAGAAATTTCACTACGGAGTCATAAATAAATCAGAATGTATCTATCTTTCTTACGTAAAAATTCTGGAGAGAATTATGAATGTTGGTTTCATGCCCAATGACGTCAGAGCTAATGTCTCATGGTTGTAAAATAGCTGCTATAGCTCCAGCCATTACTCAAGATAATGTTCCAAGTTTGCAAGGTTGGAGAAGGAGGTGGGGGCCTGAGGGGCTGGATAGTGAGACTGTCTGGAGGTGATGAGTGATGGAGTAGGAACTGAATGGAGGGTGAGAATAGTTTGCAAATTGAGAGCAGGAATTTGGAGTCAGAAGCACTGAGCCCACTGTGACCTGGCTGCATGATCATGAGCAAGCCAAAACCTCTTGGAATATCGGTTTTGTCATCTGTAAAATAGATAATAGTATTTACTTCATAGACATTGTTTGAGGGATCAAATTAGATCATGTTTATGGAAGTACTTGGTAAACCAGGGGGAAGAGGAAGAGGATTGTATCAACTATCTATTGCCACAGTAATGCTGCATTACAAACCAAACAAAACTTAGAGGCTGGCTTAGCTGGGTAGTTCTTCTGGCCTCAGCTGGGCTCCCTCTGCCCTCTGGCCTGCTCAAGCTCAGGGCATTATTGCTTTTGAGAAGATCCTGCCAGGGCCAGGCAAAGTTGCTAGAACTAGAGCTGCATGTCAGCTGGGTGGCTGTGCTTCTGCGGGCTGGCTGGCTATCAGCTAGGGTGCAAGGGCAGCTGGGCCACATAGCTCTGCTCCTCCAGCCAACAGACCAAGGAGTCAGGGAAGGTCTTCAGGGAAGGAGGCATCATTCATGTCCATATCTTAAAGGATGCAACTTCCTAAGCAGGGGCCCTGGGATTCGGCTACCAATAGCCTCCCAAAAGCCTAGAGAATCCTACTTCTGAGCCCTCCCCCATCTCTACCTTCTTCCCTATCCCCACCTCCCTCCGTTTCCCTGAGAGCTGGGCATTCCTGTAAACAGCCTGGGCCAGCTCCACCCAGGTCTCAGCTCGGAACAGCTGTGCTACAAGCGGCATCCGGGCCAGCCCCCAGCCTGTCACACAATGGTGTACTGCCCAGGAAGTCATTTACAGCCTCGGCCCTCTGGCTAGCTCCAGGCCATGGGCATGGAGGCCAGGCATGGGGGGTAGTCTAAGTGACTGCCAGGAAGGCCCCTGCAAGAGGAAGGGCTGGACCCAGAAAGGAAGGACGGAAGGCAACTAACTGGGAGGTCGGGGGCTGAGCCCCAGCCTCAAAGGCACCTTGGTGGGTGTGGGGAGGGAGGAGGCCCAACAGCAGCCTCCCTGCCACGTGAATCACGTGAGCAGGTTATACAATTATCCTAGATAATAAATCCTGACTTCTCAGACAGGGGGTACCTGCAGAAGTCCCCTGTCCAGTCAGGAGGACAGAAAATCTCCCACCACCCTCTTCTGGTATAAGAGTCCTCAGCAGCAGCCCCATGATAGTCTGTGAGCTGGGGACACTGCTCTTGGCAGCTCACTTCACATCTTTAGGGCCAAGGGCTCTTCTGTTTATTAAACTTGAACATTGCTGCTGCTTGTGAAGCCTGCTCCCCTGGCTTCAGCTCAGGAAACCCTAGCTTGACCCCTTCCCTGTGCTACATACCAGTTAGGCCAGCCTTCTCTGGACCAGGATGAATAAATCCAGACCCTGTCCTTAGGCCTGCTTCATGATGAATGTTCTGCAGCTGCTCAGATACTATGAATGCAACTGGCTCAATTCCTCTGAGAGACCCTGGGGCTGTGCCCAGCCATCAGCAGAGAGCTTCTCCCTTCCCCATCTTCTGCCGGTTCCCACAAGCTTCTCCTGCTGCAAGCAAGTGGGGTGCGTGAGCCACCACACCCACCAGGAGTCCTGTGGCTTCAGGGTTGTTAGATAGAAAGGGGGGGTGGCAGGAGCTGATGTGTAAGGAGCCCACCACATCAGCAGCAGGGTCTTTTGGACCCCCTGAAGGCCCCAGCCAGGTCAGGCAGAGCACAGACAGGAACATTCTGGTTCAAGTGGGGTGGAGCCATGAGCATGACAGGTTCATCTCCCAGGGCCCTGGTATGTCCTATAGGCAAGTCCACAGTGAAGGCCAAGCCAGGCCCTGGCCTACAAGGACATTCAATTCAATGAAGAGGAAGGAGCAATGGCCTGGGAAGCAGGAGACCTGGATTTTAGCCCATTAGCCTCAGCCTCACCACTCATTTAACATGTGATAAGACACAACCCTTTTGGGACCTCAGTTTCCTCTTGCATTAAACCAAAACCAAAAACCAAACCCACTGCCATTCAGTTGATTCCAACTCATAGCAACCCTATAGGACAGAGCATAACTGCCCCATAGGGTTTCCAAGGAGCAGCTGGTGGATTCGAACTGCTGACCTTTTGGTTAGCAGCTGTAGAGCTTAACCACTGCACCACCAGGGCTCCCTTCTTGCATTAAATGGAGCAATAAAGCTTCCTGGGGTTTGTTGGGAAATAGAGGTGGAGGGATGAACAAACAAGAAATAACACAAGTGAAAGTGTTTTGAAAAGCATAGAGTATTGTAACAGGAAAGGCAAAGATACGACACACATACTAACACTTCCCTCTCCTGTGCCCAAGGCAGACATTGCTAGCTGATCTCAGCACTTTCTCACTAAGCCATATTGATACCTCAAAATCCCTCTCAACACATATTCCAAGAACCCCTACCAATAGATCAGAGTTGCTAAACAAACTCAACCCTCTGCCCTCTGGCCTGCACAGGCTCAGGGCATTAGTGCTGATGAGGAGATCCCCCAGGGCCAGGCCAAGCTGCTAGAACTAGAGCTGGTGGAAAGCCAGACGTGGCCTTGCCAATTGTGAGTGATCGATACAACAGAACCCTGGCATCCTGGTTCAGCCCATTACCCAGTTGCTGTGTATCAGTGACCAGTTCTGCAACCAGCTCCGTGGATAGGAGTTACTGGACCCAGCCCTCCTGGGGTTCACAGAGGAGTTGGGGAGACAAAGTGTCTATGCAGGAGGGAGAAGCAACAGTGCAGAGTAGTGAAGGCACAGCGATTGGGCCTGACAGTCGCTGCTCTCCGACAGACACTCAACTGGGTCGTGACTGTCTATTTTTCAAGAGGCCTTTGCGGCCAGCAACCTGGCTGGCAATCCCAGTTCCTCTCTCTACCCACTGCAATTCCCTTTGGGTTCCCTGAGCAAATCTGACCCCAGCCCCCAGCACAATCAGGCCAGGCCTGGAGTGCTCCAGCTGATGCCCAGGAAGGCCTCTTGCACAGGGCAGTGTCAAGCCCAATATGGCTACAGTGCCCAGGTGAGAGGGTGGGAGCAGAAACTCTGCAAGCCCGTTTCACCTCCCCCATCTTCCCAAGTCCCCCCACCACGGAGCACTCCCTGCAGAAGGTGATGCCGCCAGCCTCTCTGCCCGAAGCCCTGAGCTGCTACCAGGCACGAGGGCAGCCCCAGGGCTGAGGTTCCACCCAGTGCCCCTTGCCCACTCAGTGGGACTATCGGTGACCTCCATGGTGCATTTTCAGGGAGTGTCAAGCAGCCCCCGCCGTATCCTCAAATCTTTCATAACGGTGCCTCAAATCCCATTTCCTTCTCCTCTCCCTGGGGGGAATAAAAGCTGGAGATAGTTATTAAATGTGAATGTCAGGAGATGGGTAATTCCTGACTGGATGGTGTAACTGGTTTGTGCTTGATGACTAACCTAAAGGTTGGTGGTTCGAACCCATCCAGAAGCACTGCAGAAGAAAGGCCTGGCAATCTGCTTCCATTAAGATTACAGCCAAGAAAACCCTATGGAGCAGTTCTACTCTGTAACACATGGGGTTGCAATGAGCCGGATTCTACTCGGCAACTAACAGCAGCAACAATTCCTGATTTATCGCCTAACAATAAACTAGTTCCTAAAAGCACAAATTTCCCTCCCAGGGACTCAGGCAGTGCCATGAATCCAGTAGTCCCACCCTGCAAACCTCCTCGAGGCCCCAAGGCTCCCCCTAGCCTCCTGGGAAGTGCCCTGGCTCTGCTCCCTACTCTGCTCCATACACCCAACCACAGGTGCTGAGCTGGGCCATAGGGACAGCCACCAGGGCTGGTGCCCCCACATCCAGACTGCTGCAGCACCCCAGCCTGTCCTGGCATCAGCAGGAAGGGCCCTGGGACAGCCGCTGAGGGCGGGGCCCATGGGAATGGATGAAGAGGGAGCCCAGAGCTCAGTAAATTTTGCTGAAAACAGGAAACCGCGAAGTTGAGCTGGCTTCGCTAGTAAGAGTCCAGAGAAGAGCAGCGTGCAAGGCCAGGAGGAAGCTCCAGAGGAAGTGTGGTAGCTGTTCTTCTCGGGGCTCCTCCCTCCCTCTCACTGCACAGCAGCAGCCAGGCCTGGGGTCTGGCAGCCAAATTCTTAGAAGTCGTCTCTGCCTTGAGGGCAGAAGCTGAAGGCCGGGGTCTGGCCAGCCTCCCGGAGGGGCAGGAAGAACTTTCTCTGCGCTTGGAGACAGGGAGTCTCTTCTGTTGGCTTGTCCTTTGACCCCAGAGCAGCCTGTCCCTCCAGGGAGCAGGTGTCATGCTACCCACCCCTGCCCCGTGGGCCCCCAGGAGCGGTAAGAACAGCACCCTCTTTCTGTGGCGACCGGCACTAAGCATCCATGGTGGCAGATGGGGTAGAACAGGGGACCCCTAGGGACAAGGCAGGAGCCAGGGTTTTAGTATTCTGGCGACTTGTCCATCCCATCACAGGGCCTGGGCTCACCTTCTCCCCAAGGACCTGTAGCCCCAAGCACAGCCCCAGGCATAGCCAGGACATCCAGACCGGCCTATGCCCTCAGGCCTGACAAGTGGGCTGGAAAGCAGGGCTGTGTGTCAGGGTGGGGCTCCCTGGGGAGCCTCCCAGGGCCAAGTGGCTCTCTACTGGCCCAGAGCCTAAAAACCCAAACCAAACCCTTGCTGTCCAGTCGATTCTGACTCACGGCGACCCTATAGGACAGAGTAAAACCACCCCATCCTAGAGCTCCCATTTTTCCTGGAGGTGATTGGGCGGACTTCTCCCTGCCCACTGGGCCGGAAGTCCTGGCTCTCCGCTCCCAGGCCCAGTGCAGCAGAGGCTGCTGGGAGACAAAGGCCCAAGAGAAACTGTCCCCTCAGAAGTCCTGGGGTCTCCTGTCCCACTGGAGGGAGATTTGCCCAACTCAGACTTGCCCCTGACCCATCTTGGGCACTGCCTTCCCTGTTTCTACCCCAGAGGATAAAGACACCGTACTTCTCTCCTGTGGTTTAAAATCCTGTAATCGCAATTCCACAAAGGGCTTCCCTTGTATGTGTGTATGAAAACAGATCTGGGCCATGCCCTGCAGCAGAGGTGGGAGCCCAGAGCAGAGCGAACCCATGTATGTACATGGTGCAGGCGCCTCCCAGCCCACTGGGCCTCTCTGAGGGGAAGACTCGGCACAGATGGTATGAAACGGAAGACCCAGGCTGGGAGAGGGGCCAAGGAGGTTTCCCAAGGCTAAAGGCACTTCAGTAGCACAGTGGGGATTTAAACCCATCATTCCTACAGTCCATTTATAGGGTCACCATATGTCCCTGTTGGCACCTGTCGCCCAGATGTACTTTGGATAGCACCTCCTTTTCACACTCAAAAGTGTACCAGTTTGGACAATGCATCATGTGGTCACCTTTCTATTGACGATGCTGACTCATGGGGGTAGGGGGTGGGGGTGGGGAAAGAAGGAACTCCTCCTCTCACTTTCCCGGCAGGCACCGCCCACTCCCCCCCCCACCTGTGGTGGATGGCGCAACGCTGGCCTCGCATTGCCCAAGATGCCAGTGCCGCAGTGTGTACTTCCCATTTCAGGACCTCTGGCCACTGAACATTGGGGACCAGAATACAGGCAGTGGGAGACCCGGATTTGCTTAACCTACTGAGAGCTCCTCAAGACAGGTTGTTGGTAGGAAGCGTCGGGAAGGCTCCAATGACGGAGCTGGCCGGCCCAGCCCCAGGCCCCCATGGTGCCAAGACTGAGTCTCCCAGATAAGCAGCCTCAGGCAAAATCAGGAAGCCAGGTGGACCACAGTGGGGAGGGGGTCTCTCCACATCTTGTCCTGTGTCTTATGCCTAGGAGGGGTGGCAGTGGGAGTCTTCTTGGTGCCCATCTTGTCCCATCGATGCTGCCAGTTTCCATGGCTCATGTCCTGGGGAGAGAGGCTGAGTGCAGGGCTGGAAATTGTGGGGCCTCTTAGGATTGTAGGTCATTTGGAATCTGTTGCTGGTGAGTTTCAGGTCTCTGGAGTGGGATCCCAGCATCCCAATATCCTTGGGACAGGGGCTGAGTGATCCAGCATTTTCTCTCTTCTTTTAGGTAGCATCCAGAGGAGTTGAGGGTCTGGGCTCAGAGCAGTATGAGAGAAAACCAGGGCTGAGGTCAACAAGGCCAGCCTTTCAGAGGGCCAGCCCTGGCCTGAATCCACCTGCCCCAGGCTCAGCCACAACTGCCCACTGACCCCCAGCTGGTCTAGATGGCTTCAGAGTTTGGGGAGTCAGGGACAGGATCTGCAAAAGAAAGAAGCTGAGTGAATAGGGGCTCCTCTGTCCCTCACCCCCCACCTCAGCCCCACACCGTGAAGTTCACATAGCCTGGCACATAGTAAAACCAGTTGCCATGGAGTTAACGCTGACTCATGGCAACCCCACGTGGTCGGAGTATGCTGTGCTCCATAGGGTTTTCGATGGCTGATTTTTCAAAGTAGATCACCAGAACTTTCTTCTGAGGCACCTCTGGGTGGACTCAAACCTCCAACCTTTTGGTTAGCAGCTGAGCACGTTAACCATTTGCACCACTCACTCTGGTGCATAGTAAGCGTGCAATAAATGTTAGCTACCATTTTTATCATTATAATTGTTAAACTTTTTATATACTTTTTTTTCTTTCCTTTTTTTTGCTTTCTTAGGAGATACTGTTCTCCAAGGAAGTTTCCATTATGGTTCCTGCTTATTGATAAAGATCTAGAATGATTAAAGATGGCCAGACCTGAAACCAAGGGAGAGACACAGGGGGAATCCTTGCCAAAAACAATAGTCATCATATCCTGGGCAATGACTTTGTGCCAGTATTTTAGGGACAACTGTGGTCCGTAAGCTAATTCTCACAGCACCCTGGTGAGATATGTGCTATGATTATCTCCACTTTACAGATGAGGAAAATGAGAGGTCAAGTCACTTGCCCAAGGCCCAGAGCTAGCAAGTGGGCCAGGCGGTGTTTGTATCAGAGACAGGCTGACTCTGAAGTCCTTGCTCTTCTTCCCGTATCACAGGCAGGTCCACAGGCAGGCCATGGGGGGCCCGAGGTCATGGTGCAGGGCGGGTCGGAAGCACTCACCCAGGGAAGGGAAGAAGACGTCCCCGGGCCCCGGAGGAGACAGAGGTGTGTTGGGCTCAGAGAGCAGGCGTCGCCCCGACTCAGAGGGCTGCCGCTGTGCCATGTAGGACAGGGGGACTCTGGGCTTGGCCTCCAGTATCCCCTGGGCAGGTGGAGAGGTCTCAAAACCCGGGTTTTCAATTCCTTGAATGTTGCTGCTAGAGAATCAGAATTGAAGGTCATTTGTGCTGCCTGAGGTACAGGCTTTCCCCACACTCCCCAGCCCCCCAGCCCAACCCACTTCTGTCTCCTCCCTTCCCCTCACCTGCCTTCCCAACCACAGGCCACAGCAGCCTCTCCTTGCAGGAAGCGCCAGAAAGAAAAGGCTGTGGGCTGTGCTCTGCCACCTACCGTGAGCTGAGGGAGGCAGGGCAGCCATCAGAACTGACCCCAGCCCCGCCCTGTGGCCTGACCATCAGCCCTGGGCCCAGCCAGCAAGCCCAGGGTCAGAGGCACATCCAGGACACCAGCCTCAGGACTTTGGGGACAAGTCTCCCTGTGGTCAGCAGAGCTAGTGGCATCAGGATTGAACGTCCCCAAAGCTTGTCTTGAGCTGAGGGAGGGGTTGGCAGTGGGACAACCTCAGAAGTCCCTTCCAACTCTGAGATTCTAGCAGGATCGCTAGTAGGACTTCCTCTGACTTGTCTTAAAAATCGTCTCTCTCAAACACCCAGAGGAAGCTCTGGGTTGGTGATGCAGGTACCTGGCCTGACTCCCTGAGTGGGGCTCATTCCGAGCACACCCTCCGTGCCAGGCTCCATGCCAGCCTTGTGCCCAGAGTGCAGGAATGCATACCCTCCTATCTACTGTACCCTGAGCTGCTGCACATTCTGGGCACTTTCAGCCTCTGCCCCTGTGGCCAGCAGGGCCTGGCAGTTTCTCCACCGAGGGCCCTGCTGGGAGAAGCCGCCACTCCAGGTGTGTAGTTGGGCTGGCCCCAGGCCTCCTTTCCATGCTCTGTTTTCAGTGTCTGCCCAGCTCAGCTGTTTCCTCCCCCTCCCCACCCTGGCCAGGCTGACCCTGAGGCCCAAAGGTAGGTGCATGGCCCTTTGGAGTGCGGCAGGGAGAAGAGCCAGGCCAGCACAGGTGTGTAGGCCTCAGGAGCAGATGGCAGGTGCTCTTCTGACTAGCTGTGGTAGATAGCTAAATAGGGACACTCTCTACTACACAGAAATATCTGCCCTCTGACAGTTGGGGCCGGGCATAAGGAAGGCCAGGGAGGTTGTCCCACTCCTAACTAACATCTATGTCCTGAGCCCCTTCATGATACAACCAGTGACGAGGGAGGAAATGGGGAAAGATACTGGTCGGGGCTTGGGGGAAGACTAAGTCTGTTGTGGCCAAAAGTTACCCTCCGCTTCCTCATCAACCCCAGCCACAGCCTGGGTGTAGACCTTGCCCTAGGAGCCACAGACCCAGGGAGGGGCAAGAGGAGGGAGACCCTGGCAAGCTGTGAGTCGGGATAGGGGATGGGGGGTGGCTGTGGGAAGTTTTCTCCGGAGGGTCTCCAAAGGCCTTACTTGTCCATCCGCACTAGCTCCTGGGCACCTAGAGACAGACAGACAGAGGATTCCGTCACAGAAGGGAAGGCTTTCCCAACCACATCCCCACCCCTGCTGGCAGATGCCCCTGGGGAATTGGAGGGAGCCCAGGCAGGACCACGCTCAGGCCTGGACTCCCTTTCTGTTCACCCGGGAGGGAGGCCAGACCGCAGCACTCCGTGCTCTACATGTTTATCCAGCAGGTGGGGCCTGGAGGGGTGGCCTGTTTTGACCATTGACAAATGAAACTCTGTTTTACAAGTGTGCAGGACCACATTTGCCACCAGGAACGCAAAGGCAGCCAGCGCTGTCTCCTATAGCTTGACTTGGCCAGTGTTCGACCTGTGGGATTTAAACAGAAGGCCTGCTGCTGCTGGATTTGCTTGCTTCCTGTTTGGACACTTGTTATGTTCTGGTCTTTAGCCATGATTTACAGGGTGGAAGTGTTGCAAGGTCAGCTGCTAATTAGAGGGTTCCTGGTCCTCTCTCTCCTCTCATATTGCCTAATAGAGTGGCTTTAGAAGGGCAGGAGGTGACATTTCTCAAGGGAAGTTTCGGGGTCTGCATACCCCATCACTTCTCCAACATTCTACCCACTTTCTGCTCCTCATCCAAGCTGCTGCTGCCTTGTCCAACCTTCCCCACCCCTAAACTGGCCACCACCTACGGTGCGGTAGCCTGAGCTTCCCTCTTTCTTGCAGCTCCCCATAAACTCCCACAGATCCTCCTCGTGTGAAAGGCTTCACTGCTGATTACTATGGGGAAACAGACGGTGGAGGAGGGGCACAGCAGGCACACACACACACATGAGGAAGTTACACAAAGGTTCCCGAAATCTCCAGTCATGGCGACCCCTATGTGTCAGGCTTCATGCACGTGTTTTATATATGTCCCTCATTCCATCCATCCTCTACACCACTCTTTGGGGTAAGGCTTGTTGGTCCCATTGTAGAGCTGAGGAAACTGGGTAATCTGTGTCCATCTCTACGTCACCAAACTGCCTTCCTGAGTGCTCACAGCCCTCTCAACTCCTCTTTTTTTTTTTGGCCTCAAAAATTTTTTTATTAGAAGAGCAATCATTGACAACTTTCTGTTACTGCAGACATTAGACCTGGAGATAAGGTGCTACTGAGTGACCGCCCATCACAGAAAGGAGGTTACTTTGAGTTTCGGAAGATGTGCTCAACATGAGCCACAGTACCCCTCTTTCAGTCCAGTTCATCTGCATCCCTCAGACCCCTGTTTTCCTTGGGACATATAAGGACTCTCCTTGGAGTCAGCATTTAGACTGGAGTGTCACAGAGAGTAGAGTAGGGGGACTGAGAGCTACCACAGGCTCCTCAGGACACCCCCACAGTGTCTGGTGTGGGGCTCCCCTCCCTGATCTTCCTTCCTTGGCCACCAGCAGCCTCCCCTGAGGAGAAACCTTGCTGTTCTTCTGCTTCCATCCCTCCCCCACCCCAGAGAGGCCTCAGCTGGGACATGGGGAGAGCCTTAGGGCCACCTTGGCGACCTTGTGAGGAGGGCTGGGAGACAACAAAGACAGGCACACACAATCACACACACACACCATCCTCCCCTCGGCTATTTGTTTTCCCAGTTCCTGTTCCCTGTTCTGCTCAAATGGCAGCGGCAGCCTTGCAGTCTGGAGTAAGGGGCCAGAAAGTACCTCTTTATCTGGAAGACCGTAAGCCTAGCTGAGCACTGTCGCCCTCCTCACACTTCCCCTCCTCCATGGAAATCTTACAGCAGGAGCTGATGGCGCCATTCATCTCCCTTGTGGAGCCCTGGGCTCCTCTTTCTGTTCCACCCCCTTTACCTACCCCTACCCCCACCTGCCCCTGTAAGTAGCTGTGGTGGATTTTGTGAGAGGAATACAGGCATCCTGAGAATAAGAGTGAGGTGCCATGGCCCCTGAGTACCCCACCGTAGGGCTCCAGGTTGGGTCCCTAGGAGAGAGCCACAGGAAATCAGCTGTGAGCCTAAAGCCACATGGTGACAGAGCAGGCCTCCCACAGTTACTATCTGCAGCCAGGCTGAGGGGAAGGGGCCAGAGAGGGTGTGCAAGGGCCAAGGACAGGGGACTCCCTGCCCTCCTGCTCCCATAGGCCTCGTGGGGGAGTACAGGGCAGGGCAAGGGTGAAAGGTGTTTGTGGCAGTGACTTGAAGCCTGGCCCCACCACTTATTCAATGTGCATTTCCTTAGGCAAATTAGTTAACTTCTCTGTGCCTCGGTTTGCTCATCTGTAAAGTGGGGACAATAGTAGTACCAAACTCTTAGAGTTATTATGTGGAATAATCAAGACAATGTATGCAACAAGCTTGGCATAGTGCCTGGTGCAGCAACCCCACCAGTTAAGGGTTGTTGGCTATGATGATCATGTTGTTATTAGGTGCTGTTGAGTCGATTTCAACTCATAGCGACCCAACGTGACAGAGTAGAACTGCCCCATAGGGTTTTCTAGGCTGTAATCTTTACAGGAGCAGATCACCAGGTCTTTTTCCCACGGAGCCACTGGGTGGGTTCAAACCTTTCGGTTAGAAGCCGAGTGCTTAACCGTTGCACCACCAGGGCTCCTTATGATGATCATGTTGATGAGCATTTTTGTGAAATGGTGGGATTATATTTTCTGGAAAGATTGGGAATTGAAAGCTCTGTGTTTGAGTGCCAGCTCTGCCACTTGCTAAGTCACATAACATTTGGTTAGTTATTTACCCCTGCTGAGCCCTGGTGGCATAGTGGTTAAGAGCTCAGGCTGCTAACCAAAAGGTCTGCAGTTTGAATCCACCAGGCACTCCTTGGAAACCCTACGGGGCAGTTCTATGCCATCCTATAGGGTCACTATGAGTCAGAATCGACTCAACGACAATGGGTTTGGAGGGTTTTTTTCTTTGGATCTTAGGTTCCTACTCTATAAAAGGGAAGGGTTGAACTAAGTTATCTCTGAGGTCCCTCCTGGCTCTTATACTCCACAGGTCATTTCTGCCTTGATGACTGCTATGCGAATGACAGAACAATTCCACTCACACATGAAAGCAGGTCCCCAAAGGATCTCGAGAGGCAGCATTTTCATAAACCAGTTTGAGCTGCTTCATATTCTTATTCATTCATTCAACAGATATTTCTTGAGTGCCAAGCCAGCACGGGCTGGGAGCCACAGGGTCTGGTGGGTGCTTAGGCCCCGGAAATGGCACATCTGGGTCCCCTCCTCACTCACTCACTGAGCCCAGCTCCTTGCAGGGACTGCAGCAGCGCCCAACTTTGGAACCAAGAGGGCACTGTGCCTGCCTCTGGCCTTTGCTAATCCCAGGGGCTAACCTGGGGCTGGGGCGGGTCACTCACGCCCCCCACCCACCCAGGCGGAGCAGGGATACTCACGGCGGTTGGAGGCCGCCTGCCTTTGCTTATAGACCAGGAGCAGGATGAGGGGGAGGCAGAGGATGCCCACGATGCAGGCGCCCGTGGCCAGGGCTGCGGCTGTGATGTCTGAAAGGGCAGAGGCAACCGAAGTGAGGGCCCCGTTCCCACCTGAAGGGAAACTGAGGCCCAGAGAGGGAAGGCAGGCAGCAGTGAGGACTCACCTTTATCCAAGGCCCTCAGCCAGACCCTGTAGAAGTGACCTGTAGAAGCACTGGTGCCTCTATTGAGAAACAGGGAAGATCTGGGGAACCCTTTCCAAGAGAGAGCCCCACACTTCCTCCCTAAGTGGACCCAGAGCACATAGAAACAAGGTGCTTACAGCTGAGGCAGCTCCAAAGAAGACAGAACCAAGCCCTCATACCATCCCGCAGGGTGCAGCTCAACCCCCTTGGGCTGCAGGTTGTTGCCTGAAAAGGGGAAACAGGCCCTTCATAAACCCCACGCTGCAGAGTTCAAGGTCAAAAGGAGCCCCAACCCACTGGGGTGGGGCCTCTGGAAGCCCTACCTCTTGACCTTACACAGACATCACAGGGAAAATCAATTGTGGGATCCTTGCCTAACATTTTTAAATTTTAAACTTTTTAAATTACAAAAATAAAAGCACATGTTAAAAAAACGTCCACAAGTCTCCTCCGCCCTCCACTGCGGCTCCCTCCAAAGAGATGATCACTGTTAGCAGGTTCTTGGGTATCCGTCTAGATATGGTCTATGTATATACAGTGCATATAGGATCATTCGACAAATGCTCCTCCCACTTAGCACAGTGGGGACATCAGCACCGAGTCTACCTCATTAAGCCTTGGGCTTTATCATATGGCCAACGCAAAATTTACTGAAACAGTCCTTTATTGGTAGACGTTTAGGTTGCTTCCATTTTACAACATTAATAATTTAGTGGTGAACACCTGTGCATGCATCTTTGCTCACTCGAGCAGGTACCAAAACAAAAATCAGCTGCCATCAAGTCAGTTCCAACTCATGGCGACCCCATGTGTGTCAGAGTAGAAGTGTGCTCCATAGGGTTTTCAAAGTCTGGTTTTTCTGAAGAAGATCACCAGGACTTTCTTCCGAGTCTCTGCTGGGTGGACTTGAACCTCCAACCTTCGGTTAGCAGAGAGTGCATTACCACCACCCAGGTACTTCTGGGCAGGTAGGCCTTGTACATCAATGCCTAGCAGTGCAAGTGCTGAGCTAAAGAGTATGTGCATTTTCTTCTAGGAGGTTGCTAAATTGCCCTCCAAAAAAGGTTGTACTACTTCACCATCCCACCAACAGCCTGGGGAAGCTTGATTTATTTTAGTCCATCTGCTGACTTCAGGGGTTTAGCTGGGAACAGACATGCCCACGGAACCACAATGGCATAAACTCATTTCCTTCCCAGTTTCAGCCCTTCCCTCGGCCAAAAGATGAGCCAGGATACCTTGTCACAGTGTCAGCCCCTCCTCGGAGAGCTTTGGGAAGTTGGAAGGGACAGGGACTGCATGTTGCTGTTGCACTATTTATGAGGGAATAAAGGCTGCTTTGATTTTATTGTACTGCTACAACACTCGATGGTGTAAACAAGCTTTCAGGGGGTTTGTTCACACCCACTGCAGAAGAGAACAAACTGTTTTCAGGCCCTTTAGAAGTCCTCACTGGTACAGGAACAGTTGCTAGGCTAATTACAAAGCAAGTGCGTCTCCGCATTACAGCAGGTTCCCGCAGATCAAGGCTGCATTTTGAACTGAAAGATTGAAATTAAAAAAAATTCTACAATTCAGACATTTTGAATTTCTGAACTGCATCAAAGGACCTTAATGTGGGCAGTATCTCAAAAGCTGGTTACGAAATGCTCTTTTTTAGTCGTCAAAGCAAGTCTCTTCCAGGCTGTTACTAAGCAACATTTTGAGGTTTGTCAGGTGCTCACTAATCCTGCCCCCTGTCTGCTCTGAGGCTTTGGGGGGCTCCACCCCAGCTCCCTGCCTGACCCCCTCCCTCCCCAGCCACGCTAGGGACCACCAGGACTTGGTTTCACTCGGAGAGCCTGAGGTTTCTTTACAACCTGGGCTGAGAGTTGAGGCTGGGGCAGGGGTTTGGGCCCGGCTCTTGTGGGCCCAGCTACCCTCTGAAGACGTGGGCTCCTCTGCAGCATCCCCCCACCATGTGGCCAATGCCTGGGCTCCCTCCCTGGGGAAGAGAGTGCTTAGTGGCCATCCGGAGCCTGGCTCATGCTGGGAAGGTGATCAGGTGCTAGCAGAGGCAACTGCCAGGCCTGCTCCAAGGAGTGTGCCAGGTTCTTACACATTAGGGTGAGAGGGGGGTGGGGGAGGGGGGCAGCCTGCTCAGTGGGCTTTTGTCCAGGGCCTGCCAGATATCCCCTGGGTATATGCGGAGGAGGGTTGAGCTGCCTGGTTCCCCAGGGAGGGGCTGGATCAAAGCAGACCGCACATCCTGCCATGGTGGCAGAGGGGGAGCTCAAGGGGAGATAGGCCGCCTGGCCCCCTCCCCTGGGCTCAGGGCAAAACCACAGCCCCTTGGCAATGTGGGAGCTGCTTGAGCACCAACTTCCCCCGTCTCCCTCCCCTTCTCATCCGCCCCCACCCACTCTCAGGTGGACTTGGGCTTTCAGATTATTCCACAGACCAGCCGTGCTCCCACAGCCCAAAGAGCTTCCTGGCCGGAAGCATTAGTTGATCAGGTACCAAGGCTGGCTGAGGACCACCTGTCTTAGAGCAAGCAGGAATTGGGACCTTTCCAAAGGTCGGGGCAGTGGAGATGGTCCCCAGCTGCAGGCCCACTAAGCACTGACATGGGCAAATGTTTCTAAAGCTGTTAGCAAACAGGACAAGCGTCCAGCAACTGCTGCCATCTGCTTGCCACCCTGTCTTGGCACAGGGCATGGATGAGCTGACTTGGGAAGCCAGGCTAGAATTCTGCATCTAGAATTAATAACAGCCAACACTTACACAGGCATGGCTATGGGCACTTTACATATTGTTGTTGTTATTAGGTGTCATCAAATCATTTCGACTGATAGAGACCCCACGTGACAGAGTAGAACTGCCCCATAGGATTTTCTAGGCTGTAGTCTTCACGGGGGCAGATCGCCAGGTCTCTCTCCCACGGAGCCCTGGATGGGTTCGAACTACCAACCTTTCTGTTAGCAGCCGAGTACTTAACTGTTGCGCCACCAGGGCACCTACTTTACATATAGTATATAGCACCTCATTTTAGCCTTGTGAAACCCTGGTGGCGTAGTGGTCAAGAACTACGGCTGCCAACAAAAAGGTCAGCAGTTGAAATCCACCAGCCGCTCCTTGGAAACTCTATGGGGCAGTTCTACTCTGTCCTATAAGGTCACTATGAGTTGGAATCGACTTGATGGCAATGGGTGTTTAGCCTTGTGACAACTGTGGAAAGTAGGTACTATTACGATCATCATCTCCATTTTACAGGTGAGAAAACCAAGGCACAGAGAGGATATGTAACTCGGCTGATTTCAGGGTCTATGCTCTTAACCACTTCACCACACTGCCTTTCATTAGAATGGACTCAGGTTGCAAACATGTCCCACACAGTACCTGTTTTTTTTGGATTTTGTCTTCGTGGGTTTTTTTTTTTTTTCCCTTAGTTGCTAACATTTTAAAATTGAGAGAGCTCACATAAAATCTGCTTTCTGGCTTTGCTTGAAAACTTTGTGGCTCTGGCAACCCCGGCCACCCTCTGGACTAGCGGCAGTTGGAAGTGCCCTGCAATCTCCACCCCTCCCTACTGTCTTCCTCACCAGCTCCGTGGCCCCCGGGCATTTGAGTTTTTGATCCCTGACCCAAACCAAACCAAACCAAACCTGTTGCTGTAGAGTCAGTTCTGACTCATAGTGACCCTACAGGGCAGAAAAGAACTGCCCCATAGGGTTTCCAAGGAGCAGCTGGTAGATTCAAACTGCTGAACTTTTGGTTAGCAGCCGAGCTCTTAACCACTGCACCACCAGGGCTCCATCCCTGACCCAGCTCCTTAGATAACACTGATTGCCTCGCTGGTAGAAGAAAAAGGACACACGTGTTCCCATTTCTCAGTGGGGAAACAGTACCCAGGGAGTGGAAATGCTGTCCTAAAGCCCCACTCCCCACCCAACCCAGTACAGAGGTTTCTTCCCATCTGGAACCACATGCCCTCAGTGCCAGGACTGCTTTAGTTTCCAGACTCAGGTTCCTAGAACCAAGAGTTTGGAAGGGGACTCCAGAGGTCATCAAAGCCATCCCCCTGCCCTCAACAGCTGGGACGGAAGTAAACGTGTTCCTTTAGCCCTCTAAGAGCTGATTCACTCAGGACAGCACCTTGGGACAGGGAGGCGGGGCCAGAGTGAGGCTTCACACCCCCACAAATTGGAGAGGAATAAAAACATTAAAAACTCAGAGTGGAGGTGCCCAGCAAAAGAAACTTGACCCACTCTTGACAGTCAAAGAGTTCAAGGTTTCTGCCTCACCCCAGGGCTTTTATCTGCCTGACCCCTGGGATTCCCCAGGCGATTTCTTTTCCCTTAATTCCTGCAGCTGCTTCTCTAGTGTCTACATCAAGAAAAAATAACCATATCTCTGCTCTCTCCCTCCATTTGCACCTGATTTCTCTAGCATCATCACCTCTGGCATCTCTCACCTCTGCCCTCCCAAGATTTAAATCATACGATGAATTTTCAGAAAGTCAGGGCTAACAGAGGCCAAGGCAGCCCAGTGCTCAGGCAGAGCTTGCAAACTGAGAGTCAGGTCCTCTGCCGTCTTCTCTCGACTCTGGGTCTGAGAGACTGGTAGCAAGTCGCTTCACCTGCCTGGACCTCACTTTCCCCATCTTTCAAGTGGGGGTGGTGGCAGTGGTGCTGTCTCTAAGGGCCTTGCAGCTCTGCAAGGGTTAATGGAAGAAGAAGTGGGACTGGGGGATTGTTCAGAGTGGAAGGAGCAATGGGGAAGTGAACATGCGTGTGCCTGGCCAGGTGTAAGTCACCCTGCCCTGCACACACGCCTGCGTGTGCATGCATGCACGGTTGTGGAGACTGCTATGCGGGAAGGAAGAGGCCCATTTGGAGGGCCTCTCTCTGCCAGCACCAGGGAGGCGCCATGGAGGAAGTGAGGACAATGGTGGCTTGGTGCTGTGGGGACACGTGAACTCTGTGGCATGTAGCAATAGGGGCTTGAGCCAAAGAGTTTCTTGGTTCCATGTGAGTCTGGATCAGACCAAAATGTGTGTTCTAATTTCACTCCTAACTAGTCCATTTGTTGGTTTGGAAAAAAGGGTAGTTTGAGTAAAAGGTCACTGTGGCCTTTAAGTTGGGTCTGCCTGGAGTGGGAGCCGCAGTGTAGCTGTTCCTGTTCCTGGTTTAGGCCTTTGTGCACGCCCTCCTGGAGGGTCTACACTGAATCCCAGTGAACACTGCATGGGTAGAAGGATGAGGAAGCCCAGACCCTCTCCCCTGAGAAGGGTGGCATTCCTAAAATGTCTCCCCCTTGCCTGCTGTCTCCAAGCTGCTGGGCAAACTGCTGACTCTGAGGGCCCAGGGGTCCTTACAGCAGCACCCCACCCCCTACAGGGAACTTCTCTGGGCAAACACCAGGGGGGCTCACTGCCACCAACTACACTGTTTCCAGTCTCCTCCCCCAGCCCAATGATGGAGGGGCGTGGGGGAAGTGGTGACATGAGCAGAGCTAAGCAGGCCTGGAGCCCAGTCGCAGCTGTGCTGGGCCTTGCTGGCTCTGTGAATCTGAGCAAGTCACGTCACCTCTCTGAAACTTGCTTTCCATGTATGTAACGTGAAGATGATAATGCCCACTTCCTAGGGTTCTGTAAGAATTAACTGAGATAATAGTACTTAAATGGACCTAGCACAGTGCCTGGCACATAGTGGCACATAGTAGGAGCTCAAGGAAAGGTAGTTCTGTTTCCCTTCCTGAGCCTCTCCCTCCTCCCCACCCGCAACCCACACACACAGAACAAGGGAATTCCAAGCGATGAAATCCTAAACCATGAGGAACCCTCCCCCAAGCCCTCCAACCTCCCCCATGTCACAGACTGCTGGTGGGCAGGGGTAGCGCTCACTGACAACAAGCTCAGTAGCCTGTGGCATCTGGTACCTGTCATGGGGGCACTTCCCCTGGCCAAGAGCTACTGTCAGGGTGCCTCCATACTCAGGGAGTCAGGAGCAGGGACTATCTGGGGAGGGGTCTCAGCCCTCTCCCCGGCTCTAGGAGTCAGCTCCTCAGTCTTAGGGCCTTGGAAGGGGAGTGGGTTTCTGGGGGCTGCAGCACAGGGACTCAGGTGAAGGAGGAAGCAAAAGGGGCAGCAGCAAAGGAGGAGTAATGGGGGCTCCATGGGCTTGGGGTGATGAGGTCAGAGTTCAGATGGGGCCTGGGTCCAGGATGAGGACAGAGAACAGAGAACCAAGACGGGCAAGAACACAGAGCCTTACTTTCACTCTCCTGGGGGGAAGGTGGGTACGCGATGCATTTGGATGATGCTTCTTTGCCTGTGGGAGCAAAGAGAAGGGTCATTAGATTGGTGTCAGGCCAGGAGGCCAGGGAAGCTTTCCAGGTCAGCGGCCCCTCCCCTGTCACAGGCACTCATGCTGTGGCCCAGCTGGAAGCTGCACACACATGCAGGCATGCACACACACATACATACTCACACTCACACACTCACATACGCATACATACACACACTCACACATGTATACGCACACATAGACACACACATCCAAATACACATATGCACACATAGACATACTCACAGACATACACACACTCATACTCACATACACACAAACACACACTGGCACATCCTCTGCACACAGCCGACTCCTAGTGACCCTGTAGGACAGAGTAGAACTGCCCCACACAGCCAGGCATGCCCTGCCCATTGTCATGCCACCTCCAGGGGCATGTGGATACCTCCCGGCACCCACAGCTCTCTCCAGTCCACCGCACCTGCACTCTCACCTGAAGGGATGCAGGCACACATTCCCACCCTTCAGCCTTTCAGGTCACACTTCAGTCACACTTTGCATATAATCACCACTGCCATAGTGCTGGAGCAATAGTAGCACAGTGGTTAAGAGCTTGGCTGCTAACCCAAAGGTCGGCAGTTTGAATCCACCAGCCACTCCTTGGAAACCCTAACTGGCAGTTCTACTCTGTCCTACAGGGTCACTATGAGTCGGAATCAACTCAATGGCAATGGGTTTGGTTTTGGCCATAGTGTTGCCACGAGCAGAATCTCGCTCCCAGCCCAGTACATACACCCTCTCGCATTAAAAAGTCCCATTGCAGATGGGAACTCTCTGTACTTTCTGCTCATATTTTCCATAAGCTTAAAACTGCTCTAAAAACTAAAGTCTATTATTAAAAACAATAAGTCCCGACTGAAAGGACCCTGGAAGACATGGCCCCCGGACTCTCTCTTAGCCCAAAACTAAAACTATTTCCAAAGCCAGCTCTTCAGACAAAAATTTGACTGGACTATAAGACATAAAATGATACTCGTGAAGAGTGTGCTTCTGAGCTCAAGTAGATACATGAGACTAAATGGGCAGCTCCTGTCCTCAGGTGAGATGAGAAGGCAGAGAGGGTCAGGAGCTGGTGGAGTGGACATGGCAAATCCAGGGTGGAAAGAAGGAATGTGCTGTCACAGTACGGGGAGTGCAGCTAGGGTCACATAGCAGTGTGTGTATAAAGTTTTATATGAGAAACTAACTTGAACTGTAAACTTTCATTTAAAGCACAATAAAAAAAAGTCCCATTGTCACAAACAGAGCCACAACACCCTCCCTCCCCATCTCACAGAGTTAACCCAGAATGCCAGTATCACCACCCTCCATTATGTCTCACACAGGGTCGGTCACACCATCAGATAGCCAGCCTCACACCCAGTGCCACAGCACCACAATACACTCTCCTCGAGTCACACTGCCACGCACACAGCTGCAGTTTCATTCTCATCACTTGCCCTTTCAGACTGACGCCCTCACGCCACCCCCGCGGGCCTTACCTGTCTGCACCTGCAGATCCATGGCCCCGTGGACCCTCTGCTCCGAGTGGTGGTGCCGGACCTCCACCACCAGGCAGCAGTAGAGGCCGCTGTCCAGTAGCGTCAGGTTGCGTATGGTGATGGAGAAATTGCCGTGGTGGTCCGAGGATGACTCCAGCCCGTGGCGCTGGGCCAGGTCCTGGCTGGTGTTGGCGGTCTGGTGGGTCCCGTGGTGCAGGTGCAGGTCCTGGAAGGTGAGGTTGCGGATGGGCCGGCGCTCTGAGCAGGCCTGCACCTCACCCCGTGAGCTGCGGTACCACGTCTTGTAGAAGGTCACGTCGTGCACAGGGCTCCTGGGCACAGGGCCCAAGAGCCTGCAAGTGAGGGTGACATCCTGCCCCTCAGGGCACACGTACAAAGAATACGGTGTGGCGACCTTGAAGGCTGCCACCAGACCTGCTTGGAGAGAAAGAGCTCTGTCACCTGCCTGAGCCAGCACCTCTCCCAGTGCCCACAGAGCTGGAAAGAACCTTTGGGAGCCTGGGGTTCCAAAGATGTGGGTCCTGGAACCCCCTCAGCCACTCCCCAGCCATAGGCCCTGGACGTGTCAGCTGAACTCCCAACCTCAGCTTCTTTGTGTGTTTGTGAGGCCTGCCCAACTCCATCCTAGGCTGTGGGGAGGGGCCTCTGGAGCTTCCCCAGAGGGGTGGAGCAGTGCCACTCCAGGGAGCCGGAGAGACAAGGCAAGCAGGCAGCCGGGTGTGTGTACCTCCCAGCTGGTGTACCTCCCGGTGGGGGCATGCGCCCTGGCTCCAGCTTCTCCATCTCAGCCACCCCCCTCTGCCCAGGACTGGCCCTGGCACTGCCCAGCCTCCATGCCCAGCACTGTAGGATGGGGAGCAGGAAGGTCATTTGGGACCAGGAGCTTTTTGTCTTTTGCCACCCTTCTGGGGGCCATCAGCACTTTCAGCCCTTCCCTCTCCTGTGACTTGGATGTGCCTTCCCATTCCCTCATTAGTGCGCACTAATGGAACACTGGAAACCCTGGTGGCATACTGGTTAAGAGCTACAGCTGCTAACCAAAAGGTCAGCAGTTCAAATCCACCAGCTGTTTCTTGGAAACTCTATGGGCCAGTCTACCCTGTCCTATAGGGTCCCTATGAGTTGGAATCCACTCTATGGCAACAGGTTTGTTTGTTTGTTTTGTTTGTTTTGGAATGGAGCACCTATGCATGCAAGCCCTGAGCCAGGTGCTACAGCTCACCTGGACACCTCCTGGTGGGGCTTACAGCCTAGCTGGTCAGACAAGGCCTGCATCATTCGGGATGAAGTAACCCCACAGGCCATCAGGGCACTCGAAGGAGGGAGGAAGCATCCCCCCTAGGGATAGTCGTGGACTTTCTGAAAGAGGGAGGGTCTTTGGGGCTTGATGGACAGATAGGATTTCAGCAAGTGGAGAGGGTGCCCTGGACAAGGTGGTGGAGAAGCAGGCGAACTCGCAGTGTCTGCCGAACAGGGATGGGGATGCATGGAACATCATCTCATCCATGCACCTGCCTGCCACCCAGTCTTCTTAGAAATATGTTCTAGTTCATTTTTTTTTCAATAAGCAATCCCTTGATCCTCTTTACCCTACCCCCCGTCCCCCAGCATTTAACCATGTGGATCCCCAAAAGCACCGGCTTTTGAGAACAGATTACTGGGGCTGGAGTCCCAGCTTTTCTATCTAGCTGAGTGAGCCTCAGTTTCCTCATCTGTATGATGAAAAAAATATCAGCTTCGTGACAGGACTGCCGAGAGGACTGAATGGGAAAAAAGAGGCCAGCAGGAGATGTAAGCTCCAATGCCCTCTCCAGACATTCGAGGACAGCTACGATTGTTATACGTTAGTGTTATTTCTCTTTTGATTGGCATCTCAGAGCTGCTATAAGGTCAGGCAGAGAGGGAAGGAGGGTCTGGAAACGTGTACAGAATCCAGGTGGACACGTCCTCTGCATTGCCTGGCCAGGGCACTGCCTGGACCTAAAATAATACCACTTCCTCCTGTAGACGCCCCTTCCCTGCTCCTAGTGCCCACGACCCTGGCAGCAGGCTGGGACCCACCAGCAGAGCCAAAAGCCACCAGTCGGCGGAGGCACCCTGGCCTTTGGACTTGGACTAGCCTGCCTTGAGTCCGACAGCTGTGAGCCTCTGAGCCTCACAATAAAATAGAAATTAAAATATCTAGCTGGCAGAGTTGGGGCAGGATTAGTAATAATTTTCATGAGGTACTCTGGAAGCGCCTTGCTCATAGTTGGTGCTTGATACGTGGGAGCTAGATAGGTCTCTAATCCATCTCAGCAACCAGTAAACATTTCCTAGGAATGAAAAGCAGTTCTATACAATGGAGTGGAGAAGCCAGCTTCAAACCTTCCCTTACTGAGGTGTGAATGACTGATAACAGCTTGTGATCCAATTCTGGAGTGCCTGTATATTTGACGGAGAGTGGCAGGACGTAGCAAAGCCTTGGTCCCAAGAGGATGGCTGTAGGGGTGGAGCTTCCCAGAAGGCAGGGAAATCAGACACATACTGAAGCCCCTCCTCTCACTCTGCCCAGATGTGAGGGGAGCCATGTTTGGGAGCCCTAGAATTTTGAGAAGCTATTGCTAAGGTAGGCAGAGATTTTAGAACTTCTTTGGCAAGATGCCGGACTCCTTTGTCAGCCAAAAACATACCCATTGCCGTCAAGTCGATTCTGACTCATAGCGACCCTATAGGACAGAGTAGAACCACCTCATAGGGTTTCCAAGGAGCGGCTGGTGGATTCGAACTGCTGACTTTTTGGTTAGCAGCCAAGCTCTTTACCACTGTGCCACCAGGGTGCCTAGGGTTGACATAATCCCTCTTAAACAGCTGTTCATGCTTATACCTGTCTGTCCTTTTATAAGGCTTGCTCACATTTGTTTTCTTTGACTAAGCTGTTAAGTAGCATAAGCACCAAATGGAAAAACATACCATGTTTCTATTCTAAATTATATCTGAACACCAGAAAAAAGGGGACTTGGATACCTTCAATTAAAAATCAAACCCATTGCCACTGACTCGATTCTGACTCATAACCACCCTTTAGGACAGTAGAACTGCCCCATAGGATTTCTGAGGCTGTAAATCTTTATAGAAGCAGACTACCACATCTTTCTCCTGTGGAGCAGCTTGTAGGTTTGAACCTCTAACCTTTCAGTTAGCAGCCGAGCACTTTAACCACTGTGCCACCAGGGCTCCTATAAACAACCTAACAACCATATAAGGCAAGTACTACTTTTATTCCCATTTCACTGATGAGGAAACTGAGGCACAGAGAGGTTAGCCCAATGAGGATCACACAGGAAGGAAGTGCTAGAGCCAGAATTCGAACTCAGGCACTTGGACACTACTAAAGGAAAAAGCTCAGAAACTGGCAGCCCACAGTCCACATCCAGCCTGCACACATATTTTATTTGGGCCTCAAAGTATTTAAAATTTTTTTAAGATTACCAACATTTAAAAACTCTGACATCTAGCTGCTCTTTGAAAGTCAGCAGATAAGACTAAACTTTCTTTCCTGCAAGGCAACCATCAGCTGGAGCTGAGTAGCAGCCTCTCCCTTAGATAAGGCACCGGCACTCCAGTTTGCCATAGTCCCCATTACTTCTTGATGCTCCACTGGCCTGCTTTGCTCCCGAACCATAATTGCTTGGCCCTGTGGACACTTGAGTGCTGTCTTTAGGCTGGCTGGAGTGGGACTTCACCACCCATGTCCATCATCCTGCAGATGTGACTCTCAGGCTCAGAGACGAGATGATCCACCCAAGATCCCTAGCAGGAGCTTAGCAGAGCAGCGACTGAACCGAGTCTCCTCTGACTGCCAACCTATTGCTCTTACTTGTGCACCAGGCTCGGTGGAAGAGGAGCCCCAGACAGCCTGGCTGCACCCCTAGCTTTGTCCATGCCAGCCTGGACCTCCCTGACACAGGCCTGTGTGGGGTGGGTGTGGCCCAGAACTATGGCTGTGCCAGAAAATGGAGCTGTGGGGTAGCTAGGGAAAGGGCTGTCCCCAGGAGCTCCCAGGAAGACCTGAAACTCACCCGAAGATGGACCCCAAAGTTATCTCTGCCCGGTGCTCCCCCTTTCCCCAGCAGAAGGGAACACGGCAGCTCCCACCAGCACCTCCTCCAGCTGGCGTCCCGTTTTGCCTTTGCCCAGCATGATCATCTGCCCCAGCACGACCCAGCTGCAGCAGCATTTCTCAGGAGCACACACATGCCGCAGGGGTTATCAGGAGGGCTGGTTCCGCAGACTGGCTGTGGGTCTAGGGTGGGTGGGGGGAACAGGCAGGGTAGAGGTGGAGGTAGAGCAAGGAGTGCAGCTTAAACTGAGCAGGGGCGGGGGTGGCTGATGACTAAGTGGGCAGAGCACGTGGATTAAGGGAGGTGTGGATGGGAGGGGTGAGATGTGGGCTAGGGGGGGCTGGTTTGGTAGGTGGAGTGGGTGTTGATGCACCAGGGCTTTGGGGCAGGGTGAGAGCAAGCAGTGGGCCTCCAGCCGAGCACTAGGGCCCAAGCAATGGTGTTGGACAGTGAGGGGAGGGGAGTCTCACTACTAGAGGCATTTCCTTGAAAACCCACAGGGGGACACAGAGAACCGGGGATCAGGGACAGCAGGAGGGGGACATTGCTCAATAGCCGACACCCCACACACACGCCACCCACTCCAAGGCCCCAGGACCTCTTCTCCTTTTAGAAAAAGGAGAAGCAGCACTGGGATTCAGGTTTGGGGTTCAAGGGAAAATGCTGAATTTTAAGCTGAAGTAAAGGGCCAGATAGGAGTAGGCCAAGGATCCACAGGGCTTGCGGGGGAGGGCAGAAAATATCCTGTTTATTGTGTCTGAGACTCCAGCTGGGACAAGGCCCTGATCAGCCTGTCCTTGAGAGGACACGCAGGGCACAGTATTGGGGAAACAGAACACACACAGAGAAGGCCTGCACGCGCCCCCATGGGCACCCACGCGGCCCCTGCACATGTGCTCTGAGGGGATATATATAGCCTGGCTGGGATTATAATTATTTGCAGGAGGATGTTGCATATTGTCGAGAGCAGATTCTTTCGGACACCTGGGTCATTGTCACAGGCCCGGGAGAGTGGGTGGGGAGGAAGGCCCCTGGCTCCAGAGTGACCAAGAGCATATGGGACAGGAAGATAACCCTGCCCCTGGGACTGAGCATGTGCCCAGGTGGGAGCCGTCCACTCATTGTATTGCTCTTGGGACCCAGCCATCTCCATCTGCCACTGGGTAAGGAGGCAGGGGGGCCCTCAAAGAAGAGTACTGTGAACCGGGAAAATTCTGGGTCTCATGATTGAAACTCTGGCCTGGGTAGTAAGATCGCTGGGCCCCAGTCCCTCTTAGCGATGCCCTTGCTGTGTGGCCTCGGGAAGGTCCCATT